GTAAACTGCTAGTATACTTAGCTATATCAGTGTACATGGTAAATAGAAGTACACTTATACACTTTATATATTTTATTTTTTTAATTAGTATACGTGATGTACTTAAACTTATACTCGTATACTTATTAAAACGAACTTCAAGTATACTACTTTTTGCTATGGGATGTGAAAAATATTGCATGGGTTTTGTTTTTTACCTTATAAAATCCTTTGGGACTGGTCTTCATGATGTAAAGTCGACTCATCTCAACCTGTTATACATTCATGTGTTTTATTTTTTTGTACCTCTCTTTCTCCTCGTGTAGATTACTGTTTATGATTGTGTGTTGTTGTTTTGTTAATAAAGTTTATTTAAAAAATACATTCATTTGTTTATATATTCTACATAATGTTATAGAATAATTTCACGGTAGAAAACATTTTAAACTAATTACTAGAGAGAAAAAAACTTGTTTAGGAATTTTTACAACAGTGCTACAACATTTATTTTTTTGTAGCTATTGTTAGCCTATTTAGTATTACCAAATTTGGGCTATTAGCGTTAGCATGATATCCGAACAACCAATGAGTGAGCGTCTAGGCGTTTCCTTAGCAACACGGCCAGGAAGTTGAAGCATCGAAGACAGTGAGAGGATGTGTTAATTATTATCTTCCTAACTTTTGTTTTTTAATTTATTTTTAAACAAATTGCATTAGCTTCTTGCTAAAATGTCAGCGCAGTGTTAATAAAATGATGAACTAAGCGCCTCCTCCTCCTCCTCCTCCTCGGTGAAGTAAAACATGTCGGTGTCTACCAGGGCTCGTTCAGCGGGTTCACCGGAGCGGTCAGCGGACACCACCGCCACCAGCGACGGTAAATTATTCACGTCCATCCCCATGTCAACACAATGCTCCGCTAACAGATGCGTTACAAAGAAATAAGCAGCAGTTTTTGTCTATTAAAGGATACATTATTTAGATTATGCAGATCCATCTATTTACATGCCTTTTTAGAACATGTGTGTATGAATGCCTATGTCATTTTTAGCTGTCCGTGAAGAATGTAGTATGAAATATACTATAATTACTTTATATTTGTATATCTATTTAATTTGTTCTTGGTGGTAGATCTTTAGATTTATTGTTTTTTTGTGTCCAGTTCCCTGAGACAACAATGTTACTTGGCGCTATATAAATAAAGTGAATTGAAACTGAATTGAATTGAATAGATCTTATTCAAGTCCAAGCAGGAGGTAGACACAATCAACTGCTTCCGGTCAAACATCCAAGGGTCCCTCATGAACTCCTGGTCAGCCTGACCTCCACTGTCTGCAACAAGAGCTCAAAGGTGCACACTGCACATCACCAGCACGGTCAGGTATTGCACATGGACATTGTTTAAATTGGTACCTTTTTTTCCTGCACCAAACAACCAATGGTGGGCAGCACTAATGTAAAAATTTGCCCTAAAACACTAAAAGTATTTAGGTCCCCTAATTGTAAAGCACTAATGCATTGAAAGTTTTAGCAAAAGCTAATTCTAAAGCACTAAAATAACCCAGTCAACCCATGAACATTCTTCAACAGACATGAGTCACATGTTGCCGTGTTGCTCTCTTACGACTTATCATTGACATTCCACAGCTGTATTTGGGTTAATATACAGCAGGTAAAATAAGTATTGAACACGTCACCATTTTTCTCAGTAAATATATTACTAGAGGTGCTAATGACATGAAATTTTCACCAGATGTCGGTAACAACCCAAGTGATCCATACATACAAAGAAATCAAACCATAAATGTCCAGAAATGAAGTTATTTGTAATAATGTGGAATGGCACACACTTACTGGAATTTATCTAATACTTTGTACAAAAGCCTTTGTTGTCAATGACAGCTTCAAGACGCCTCCTGTATGGAGA